ACAAGTGATGCAATTTTTCCTAGTTGAAAATAAGACAAAAACCAGTTTTTATTGTCTTTTTCCTGAGGCCAGTGGACAACCTCATTATTATAGTCCTTGAATTGATTTTTGTGGAGAGACTTCATCTTGAACAGAGCTGCCTAATGATGCTGCCAGCTTAAAGTAGCCGGCTGCTCCTCAGTTTGGTGGATTTATTGGCATTGTTTTCCCATCCAAACATTTCTTATCAACACATCCCATTGTTTGTCCAAGAAGAAAAATTCATTTCCTCTATGCAGTCTCTGCTTACATAGCCTTAAGTTTTAGGTTAGAAATTTTCTGTTGAGACCTAGGTCTTCAGCCAGGAAATATGTGATGGGGACCTTAGTTGGGGACTAGCTCTTTTACTGGTTGGAACTAGGCCAGCTTTGCAGGAATAAAGGAGTAATCTACCTGTTGAGGTTATCTGTTGAAAGTAGCAAAGTGGCTATTACTACAGAGATAGGCATTAGAAAGTATCTAAGTTTTGTCTATTTGCCCTAATTTTTGTCTACATTCTTCCTGAAATACAGTCATTTCTATCTGTACATAAACACAGTTACTAATTATCATAGATTAATTTGTGCCAACCTAGAATTTAGAAAATATAGAACTTAATTTTATTATTTGGCAAGGCTTAAAAAGAACGCAACACATAAGTACCATGACATAAATGCCAAGTCAAAGGCCCAATGTGAGGTCAATGAATGTGGAGGGGTAACCTGAGCTTCTCAGGGTCTGTTACCACCCAGAAGTTGTCTGCAAAAATTTTATGTATATGTCTGTATGTATGTATTCAAACCTTCATTTATCTGAATGTTTCTATTGTTTCATCAAGCAAGACAAATAATCTTGTACTTTCATTATTGCCAATAAATCTGTAAAGAATAGTTACTGGAGAAAACAAAGGGAACCTAGCAAAGAGCTATAACTACACATGAAGATACACAGAGAGCTCAAGGTCTGCAGTCCGTTTCCTGGGCAGGAGTTAAACACAAACGAGCTAAACAAACAAAAACAGCGGCCATAGATCTAGGAAGCAGGAGTTGCAATAAGAAGTAGTTTGCCAGGTCCTTACATTTTGTGATTAGAGACTGCCTGTGTATTTTTCTAGTTGGGGTAGTAAAGGATGTGAGATTGCAGATTGCATTTTCTTTTATTCTCTTCACAGCGTTCAGTCTAGTTAGTACCCTGCTGCAAACTTGGAAGCCTCTGCCTCCTCTCATTCTGCTACAGCAGCAGCAGCAGTATATCTTTCTGACACAGGCAAGGTTTCTTTGAGGGGCGAGTCTCCTCTGGTCGCTCTGCACCACACCACAGTGTGGGGCTTCGTCTGTGATCCCAGGCTTCCCTGGGGTTCCAGTGTTACCCTCCCCGCTGCTGAAAGTCCCGTGTGAAGCTGAAGAGGTGAGCACATTAATTCTCAGTTTTCGTGCCACGTGGTCAAAAAGGAGCTTTTTCCATCCAACCAACTTTTGCTGCGCCCTGATATCCCATCGCGATTTGTTTTCTCCTTGCCCCTCATGAGGTCTGTGTGGGCAGAATTTCCCCGCAAACTTCAAGGGAGGCTCGTCCTAGCGCTGCTGGGGACGGCACCTAAGTGCCAGGAGTCTCGAGCCAGGGCAACCCAAGCAGAGCCAACTTTAAAGGTGCCCTGCTCTCTTGACAGTTTCACCCACACGCGCCCATGTGTAAACACTAACATTTTATATGTTTTCGAGCGCGGAAGGAGTGTGTGAAATGCTGGAGCCAAATTAATGAAAAGTGGTTCTCCACTAAAACCTGTCAAAATCCCGCCTATATGACGGCTGGGGCTGGATGTATTCAAGCAATTCGTAACCAAAGGTGGGTAGGGGGTGAGGGGAATCAGACTCCATCCAGAGAGGCAGATTCCACTCGGGGTCCGGGATTCCACGAAGAAACGAAAACGTGGCTGGAGAAAGCCACAGGTTTCCCCATCGCTAAAGTCAAATCCTAGAAGGAGCAAGTGGTTTACTCCTTTGCATGCTACTGGAGCAGAAATTGAAAAAGAGGCTGCCTGCGGCTCGTTAACATTCCTCTTTGAGTTAGTCTGCCTCCTAACCCTTCCATAGTTCTCTCTAATCTTGCCGCTCCCTGAAATTAGCAAGGAAATAGTTTCCTGCACCCCAGCCCCAGCACACATACTTGCTCCATTCTGGCCAACGCACCCACCTAATGGTTTAGGCTCCCTGCTTTGCTTCCCTCCCTTGTGGTTTCTAAGAGAAAGATGGGAGTTTGCAAAATAATCAAGTCTAGCTAGAAGCTTGATGTGGATGGGTAGAGTGGCAGGATTGGCAGGACCCCTTAAAATGTGGTGCAAATGAGGCTTAATATTACCAGGACAGTGTTGAGCGCTATGAAGGGGAGAAAAGGAAAGAGAAGGTTGTGTGTTTACTCTGAGTGGCTGCTGCAGCCCAGGGCCATTCAGAGAATGTCTTTGGAGAGTGGCCACCTTGTTAAAGAAGTACCCTCACTCTCAATGCATGCATGTGTTTTATTTTCTTCATACCACTTAGCAGTATATGAAAGCATGTTAATTATTTACTTGCTTATGCCGTTATTGTCTGCCTGCCTGTTTGAGAATATAAACTACTTGAAAACTGGGTCTGGGTCTACCCCATTGGACTTGATTCCCCTGATGCCTAGAATGCCCTAGCATAGAGTAGGCACTCTATTTTTGCCTGCCTGGCTTACAGATGAGGAATTAAAGGATCTTGGGTTAGGGTTATTGTCACCTCGGATAAAAGCTCTTCTTTCAAAGAATCTCAATTATTCTTTAAAAAAACAATGGATGGGACAGATAATCAGACAATCTCCAGTTTTAGAATAGATGGAATAATATTCTTTAAAATATGTTTACACTTAACCTGATAAATTCAATTATAATGTAGGTTTTTATTTATTCATTAACTTATTTATTTTATTGGATGCATTCTACCTGCCACAAACACTGAGCCAGGCTCTGGGAACTCATAGTTGGGTTAGCTGTCAGGGTTGAAAATACATTGTTCATCCTGGTGTTTTTAAATAACTGACTTGTACTTCCACCCTACATTTGTTTCTCTTAAGGCTGGAGTAGGATATGGGCACAGGGGATATGCTCTGGTCATGAGACCTAGGGACTGCTGCTACTGCTTGGTGCCGAATGTGGTTGATGCCCTGATGTTTTTGTTGAAGGCAAAGGAGACCCATTGAGAGTGTTGCTGGTGATGGCCCCAGAGCTAGGTTTTTGGGTTGTTGTTGCTTTTTTTTTTTTTCATTTCTTGAATCCCAATGACCTTCTTTCTCGGTAGGTTGCAGAAATCACCGTGCTTTCTGAGAACTGTTTTCCAGAGGCACTGAACTGCTAAGATCCTGGAGCAGGAGGGTGGAGTCGAAGGTTTAATTTGACATATGATGAGCTACTGTTTGTGATAGTTTTACATTTTTGCACACAGCTCTTTTCTTTTTCTGACTAAATGGTTAAAGGGGAGGGATTGGATGAAAAATACTATTCCTAAAACCAGATATGAAAAATTAGTTTGTATTTTAGCAAGAGTTAAGTATGACATGATGCCCAAAGTATTCAATATAAAATGCACTGATGGTCATTTCCTTCTTAGGCTGTATCACTGGCCCCTCCTTGTAACCTGGGTGTGGCCAATGGGGCTGGTAAAAATTCCTGAGTAGAGAGGTCAGAGATTGGGGCTAAGCTCCACCTAAGCACAAGCCTGCTGGGGTGGGTGGTAATAGGTAGTTGCCGCGATTGCGCCTGTGCCCCTAATTGAGAGCCTGGGTGTAACTGGAGACGTGCGCAGCAAGCTCCGAAGCAGACAGAGGCAAGGACAGGACGCCCTCACCCCCATTTTCAGCCAAAACTGCGGCACCTGGGTGTCAGGATCGGGAGGAGCCAAATGAAGCGAACATGGAGAGAGGGCGGTAGGACCCAGCGGGAGCTTCGTGGGCCAGGGAGGGAACTGGGCGGGAGAAACGGAGGGAGGGCGAGAGGAAAAAGGGAAGGTGTTCGCTAGCTGGCAACCGCACTCGCAGCGCTGCTAGAGTAGCTCGAGCGGACCTGCGCCCTATAAAAGGAGCTCATCTGTTCCACGACTCTTACGCCTCTCCCCGGCTGGCGCGCACCGCTTTTCTCCAGCTTCCCCAGAAATCTGCCCCTTCCCAGTGTGCCGCGCTGTGTCCCTCAGACCAGTGCGCCCAGCAGCGTGACTCCAAGTGGTGCCCGCGGGACGGAGGTAGCCGCCTCGGCCACGCGGTGCAAACAGCTGCAGCCCAAGTCCTCGAGTCCCCTCTCGTGCGGCCCCGTTTCCGCGGGGCAGTTCACCGGAGTGGCCAGCGCGTGAAAAGGAGGGAGGGCAGAACCCCCCGCTCGAGGCTCGGCGCGGCTCCTAGACTTCACCCCTCCCTACTCTGGCGGCCGCAGCGCCGCAGGAAACTGCCACAGTCTGGGGAGGGGGGCGGGAATGCCTGACCGGGACTCTTCTCTGGCCTGCACGTTTTGGTCTAAGCAGCTGGGAAACTCCTGTGGGCCGTCTCTGCAGCTCAAGGAGCGCCCGGGCTAGGAAACGCTCATGCCCGAGCATTTGGGGTAAGAGACCCCACCTGGCTAATGCTTCCTCCTCAAACAATACATGGCCCTCCTCCACTAGACACCTCGGTGGGAGCCGGTGCGGCGTGGGGCTCGGTGGGCCAGTCCTTAGCAACACCGGGCGTGGAGACGAGCAGCCAGAGACGCGGAGGCAGCGCCAGGCGCACTGGAAGTGCAGGGGACACGCTCGCCCGCTGTAGCTGCCGCGCCCTTGACCTCTAGTTTCAGCTGGGAACCTGGGTGGAGGAGTAATTCCGAAACCTACGGAACTAACTACCAACCGGGGAACGAGACTGTGGTCTCTTCCGCGGTCCTTCCCCCTCTCCTTCGTGCGTTCCATGCCCCAGAGCTGCGCTCTGAAGCCGGGGCGAGGAGAGACATGGAGGAGACAGGCGCTCAGTGCGCTCCGCAGCAGCCTGCGGGCTCCCAGACTGGGGTTTCTCAAGCCAACCTCTCCGCTGCTCCTTCCCACAACTGTAGCTCCGGGGGCTACATTTACCAGGACTCAATCGCCCTGCCCTGGAAAGTACTACTGGCCATGTTGCTGGCGCTCATCACTTTGGCCACCACGCTCTCCAATGCGTTTGTGATTGCTACTGTGTACCGGACGCGGAAGCTACATACCCCAGCCAACTACCTGATCGCCTCCCTGGCGCTCACCGACCTCCTAGTATCCATCCTGGTGATGCCCGTCAGCACCATGTATACAGTCACCGGTCGCTGGACCCTGGGACAGGTCGTCTGCGACTTCTGGCTCTCGTCGGACATCACCTGTTGCACTGCTTCCATCCTGCACCTCTGTGTCATCGCTCTGGACCGCTACTGGGCCATCACGGACGCCGTGGAGTACTCGGCGAAAAGGACTCCTAAGAGGGCGGCAGTCATGATCATGCTGGTGTGGATTTTCTCCATCTCCATCTCGCTGCCACCCTTTTTCTGGCGTCAGGCCAAAGCCGAGGAGGAGGTGTCGGACTGCGTGGTGAACACCGACCACATCCTCTACACAGTCTACTCCACGGTGGGGGCTTTCTACTTCCCCACCCTGCTCCTCATCGCCCTCTACGGCCGCATCTACGTGGAAGCCCGTTCCCGGATTTTGAAACAGTCTCCCAACAAGACCGGCAAGCGTTTGACCCGAGCCCAGCTGATAACCGACTCCCCTGGGTCCACGTCTTCTGTCACCTCTATTAACTCGCGGGCTCCCGACATGCCCAGCGAATCGGGGTCTCCAGTGTATGTGAACCAAGTCAAAGTGCGAATCTCTGACGCCCTGCTGGAGAAGAAGAAACTCATGGCCGCTAGGGAGCGCAAAGCCACCAAGACCCTGGGGATCATTTTGGGAGCATTTATTGTGTGTTGGCTGCCCTTCTTCATCATCTCCCTCGTGATGCCTATCTGCAAAGAAGCATGCTGGTTCCACCTGGCCATATTTGACTTCTTCACGTGGCTGGGCTATCTCAACTCCCTCATTAACCCCATTATCTATACCATGTCCAATGAGGATTTCAAACAAGCGTTCCATAAACTGATACGCTTTAAATGCACAAGCTGACTTGTCAATTGCATTGGGGTCGCCTAAAAGTGGCCTTTGGGGACCATGTTGTGTCTGGTTCCACAGGTAGGTCGACTTTTCTTTCACTGTTACTGGGTCCGAACCAGGCGCTTTCTTCTGGGCAAGGGCAATGGATCCTGAGAAGCCAGGACAGCCCTGAGAGAAAGAGAAAGAGAGAGAACGAGCTCTGAAAGAACTGATTAAAGGAAAGATAGAGCTTCCCTGCTGAGGAGGAGGCTCCCTTTCATCCCTCAAACCCCTGGTTCAGCACTGACCCTGCGACAGCCAATCACAAGGGGATTTTGCGACTTTTTAAAAACCAATGATGGAAAGGTGATCATTGCCCCGCTTTGGTGTCATGAATGATGACCTCTAGAACCAGTGATACATGTAGGTGTTCGAACCCTGTCTGAGACAGATGCTTAAAGCCTGGCAGTACTTGAACTAGATACTTAATACCCTGTGTTTTGGGGAGAACTTTGTGTTACAGCTTCATTTGAGAACGGTTACTTTGGCATCCTTCAGTCTTTGGTTTTTGTTCATTTAACCTTGGTTGGAAAAACCTGTGGACTTGGTGCTTCAATCCCTAGGTGTGGCTTGGAGGGCACAGAAAAACCTTGAAGAGTTAATGGTAAAATTCTGATGTTAAGATTTCTATTTTTATTATAATTGAAACTATATGGGATTGGGACGGTGGGAATGGGAGATGAGGATGGTTAAACAGAGAACCACCACCTACAATTGTTTGTTTTCTGCAGATTTGTGATTTTTAATTCCTACTTAGTGATTGTCAAACCACATTTCTAACAACTCAAACAAAACATTACGTGTGCTAGTGCCAAAATCTGCAGGTTGCTTTATTTTTTTCTTCTAATTTAATGCACCTGTCATTTTACACATTTAAATCCCCATAAATGGAGGATATGATGGGTGACTCAGCCCAAGCTGCTCTGTTTCTTATTAATGCAATTGATTAGACTGATATTAGATATATGCTGCTCCTTAACAAGAAAAGCATCTTTATTCCTTATCCAGTTCAGTGAGATGTAAGGGAATCCGATGAATAGGATTAGTTCTTATCCAATTAAGGAATGAGGGGCAACAGGAGGATGTATATTTTGACTTGTAAAAAATCTTAAATGCATGAGACTTTTTTCTGATAGTCATTTGCACTCTCCTTCCCATCTGTAATTCCTTTGTGTGCTAACGTACAAAATAACCAAAAGAAATAGCCCCTTTCTCCAAAATCTTCAAAATGCAGTAAGAACCCTAAAAACTATGTTTTTCCCCCTTTCTATTGAAGTTTGGGTAGGAACAAAGATCACTTGAAAATGACATGCAAGAACTTTAGACAAGCCTAGAGAAACTAAAATTGAGCCTGTTATCCTTGTAACTCATGGAACTAAAGTTCAAACTTATTAGGTAATTAAGAAATTGATAAGACACTGCACCTCAGAAATTTGATACTAACCTGATACCTCAATGAATATGATAACAGTAATACTTAAATTTACCTGTCTTTTCAAATTACAATACTTATTTGTTATCTCAAATTCACTCTAAAGACTCCCTAACATAGGGCAAGATTTATACACTAAAATATTAAAAAAAAATGCATTATCTAAGTGAAAAGGAGTAGCCCCAAAGGGTCATCTATACAGAAAATTTAAAAAAATGTGTATGTGGACCATTTAATATGCCAAGAAAATTTACATTCCCTTCTTTAGAGAGCTCTCTGCAGTTAATACCTTGTATGCAAGTTTGTGTTTGTAAAGTGAATCCACTCCCTGCTTGCTGCTCTCCAGTCCAGATCATGAGACAGTAGATGTATTGATCTGGAGTACACCGTTTGCCTGCTGTGCAGACCTTCACTCTGGGGCAATGACTCTTGAACTACATGAGTCAAAGCTTCACACATACACTAAATAAAAAAGGGAAACATAAACTAAATAAAAAAGGGAATGTCAATTAACATTTACACCAGTTACTGGATTAGGATGAAATTTTAGGAATTAGATGAGCCTGTATTTCTGCTGTATTCCCAAGTTTCTTTGTTTTGTTTTGCTTGTGACATTTCTCCTATGGAGAAGTCTAGGTTACTACATATAGGAATGTGCATAAGGCACAGGATTTGTTTTTATGTTATGATTGTTTTGTGTGTGTGTATTTGTGCTTTCTTTGGGCCTAAGAAACAATTAAGTCAACTTCTAGGCTAATTGAAACAGATAGCCACTTACAAATGATTTCTGTAGTTGGCACATACAATGATGGTGTCTTCATATTATTAACAAAACACGGTCAATTTAGTCAAAGAGACTGTTTGCCTTTTTGTAGATTTACCCACTTAAATTTTGGCCTATTTGGCTAAACTGACTGGATTTGGGGCATATTATGTGAAATAGAAGCTTGCAAACCCTTGTATTTATAAGAGATCTTGAAACATCATTTGGCATTGCACATGATTATGCAAAGTGTATCATTCATCCCAGGGGTATGTAGTTAGGACTATTAAGCTCCTTTTCAGTCATTGCTGCCTATAGCATGGTGGTTTCATAAACTAGCCATACAGCTTTTTTTGCAGAGCATAAACTGAGAGATAGAAATGTCTAACTTACATAGAAATGAAAATATATTTTCATCAGCTATGGTAACAAATAACATTTTTCCATGTTGTTAATTGCACAAATTTTCACACAAATATATGACTGCATACTCATCCAAAAATACAAATACTGTCAGTGTTTCTAGGAATTTTAGAGTTTCCTTTTTAAAAATGGACACTGCATCCATCAGTGAATGGTTATTGAGTTCAACAAATTTCCTACAGAACAATTTTCTTCACTTTTTCTCTCTGTTATTTTAGTTTTGCCTTCTTTAACCAGGAAACCCTGAGAGGACTATAATTCACTCACTCAGTAAAATCGCAGATTATGTGTATTTCATAGAGTTGCTGTGACTGAAAATTGCCTTTGGTATTCCACCTTTCAACAAATGTGTAATTGGAAATGAAATTTAGAAAAATAATGAAATAAAAGTCCTTTTTTCTGTTCTAAAAAGCTTTTGGTAGTAATTCTGTTATTAGGGGATGATTGGTTCATTGGATTCCAGATTGAATTTAGGAATTTGAGCCCTCAAGAGAGAATAATTGATGAACATGACACTGTGGAGGATCAGCAAGTACCACCATGGTTTGGGGGCTTTAGCTTCTGTCTCTGGGAGAACTTTAAAGGAAATAGACAAACTGTGAATTCATATTCTGCAAGAGGGTAAGTCAGGTTCATTATCATAAGAGTTTTCTAGATCAGCATTCTGCAGCTACCATTTTGTCTCTATTCTGGGTAGTAAGATTTCAAGGTACTGAACTGTGCTTGAAATACAGAAAAAGGAAACAGAAGACCTGGGTTAGAAGCAGTCTTGGAGCAGACAGATGTAAGAGGAGGAAACTGACTTATCTGAACACTGGAGAAGTTGACAGAAAAACAGCTTCTGGAATCAGAAAGTGCTAGGATTGGATCACAAATACAGCAACATATAGCTGTATTGTTCTCAAACTGCAAGCCTACTTGCAGTTTGTACCAAAGGTTTAGAGACTATACATGTAGAACACCTATCAAAATACCTGATGCCTTTTTTGGATGTCAGCAGCTGATGCCTCCTCCTAAGCCATTATTTCCCCATTGTCTCCCCTGAGGATACAGGGCTGCTGGAGCATAGAAAAACAGTGTTATTTGTAGAGGCTGGACAGGGGAAGACTAAAGGAGACAATGAGAGAACTTGACTAAACTAAAAGTGAAAAAGGTTAGGAAACTTTCACACTTACCCTCTTAGACAGGTACACATAGAACAAAGACTGAAGAAATGGTTTACACTAGCTCTAGGAGCCAAGAAGAAATTGCTAAATATTTCATTTCTAAGGCATCCTCTTATTTACTTTTAATCTCTTGACTTCTTCATCCTTGTCTAGAGGATGTCCCCTAGACAGCTAGAGGTTCCAGCTGTCTTCTGAGTCCACAGTCCCTCACCACGTCTTCATCTTATCTCAGTGTCTCATTTTAGCTTCTCTGCTTTTTTATTCCTCATGCATAGCCATAATAATAATAATAATGTTTTGATCTAATTTTCTTATTTTTCCTGTGAAGGGCTGATTAAGTAGCCAAGAGTTTTTACATTATTTAAAAGGAAATTTTTTGATCCAAATTAATGTGTAATTGGTGAAGGCAAAAGCTTTCAACTGAGACATCTACTGGATTTTACAGGAGTAGGTGACTGGAAGGGGAAGGGTGTGGGAAGTGAAGTTTCCACTTTCATCAAAGCTCATCCTTGAACACACCACCAGGGGGCAGAATGTCTCTGAATTTTAGAGGATGTGGGTGCCCATTGCAGGCAATGTAAAACTTCTGGACACCACAAATGGTGTAATGTCTCCAGATCCATGAGCCAAGGGAAAGAGGGCTTACCATTTATTTAAAAGAACAGATTTCTCAAAACTGCAAATTCAGGCAGGAGACCCATAAAGTTTTATATACATAAAAACTTCATATAAAAACTAATATATATATAATCAATTATTTGTTTTCTTATTCATCTATAGTTCTGGACTAAAGCTAAAATCTTAGTATTTTAAAACATTGTAACCTTTGATTCCTGTGGCACTGGGTAAAGTGAGAGGTTAGAAGACAAAATTTAAATTCAAAGTAAAGGGAATTATTTTCTTAAATGGATCTTTCACTATTTTATTTTCATCACTGTATTTTTCAAAATTCCATTGATTTGGGGTTGATATACCCATGGTTCAGAGGTAAAATACTGGTCAATTACCACGCACTTGAAGAGAGGGCTGTTTTTCTGCAGAGAAATAAGGTGCACTTATATGCCAGTTTTTTCCAGAAGGACCACTTTCAAATCCGTGTAATTTTGGCATTTACTTTAAAAGCAGGCATTATATGCATGTGAATATAATGTTATATATCACAAAAATAAATTTTCACATTGAAAAATGGATCACATAAAATGAGAAAACAAGTGAACTTGTACAGGATGGGGCAAAAGTAGGTTTAGAGTTATGAGCACTTGAAACACAGTTTGTTCTTGTATTATTATTTGTTAATTATTTTATTATTTTCCATTTGAACAACTGTAAACCCACTTTTGCTCCACCCTGTGTTGTTGCATTCTTCCTTAACCGTTATTACATCCTAGCATTTTCATTGTCCCCAACAGGGAGTTTTCTATGTGCCATTTCACACATCTCTCAGTTAAATTGAACTTTCAAAGTCAACATCCACATTTTAGGATTACACTAGGATTTCCAATACTCCCTGAGATAGAACCAGTCCCTGGAGTTGGGCCACCTGACAAAGAAATGTCTTAACACTAGTCCAAGCAAAGTTTGTAAAAGAAAATGCCCATTTCTTTAGACATATTTGCACATATTTCAAAGGACAGGAGAAACCCTTTTCAAAACTACTAACTGTATGACAAGACGGTTTTATATTTTTTTTTTGCATTTAAAGTGAACAGATGGTGATATGGAGATACATTTATGGTAAGTGCTTAAAAGAATCTACATACAGCTTGCTTAAATGATGCATGAGGGCATGAGTCACATCCTCCCTGTCTCTGTGGGAACATTCCACACATCAGCCTTTGACTGGTCATCCGGTGTTGGGATAACTACATTTAGTTACCCCAATATCTCTTGCTCTTCAGTGTGGTGATGGGACTGCAGAGGTAGGGCAGTCCACAGAGGCTTGACTACTTGGTCTGGGAGCTGTGCCCAGGGCACTTCTGTAAACACATCAGTTGCCTCTTCTAAACCTGTTTGCTAAGCCAGTTTGTGATCATGTATGCAGAGCTTAGGCTCTCCTTGTCATTTATCAGTCCATTCTTACTCCTCTAAATAATCTCAGTGGATTCAGGACTGGGCTGATTTGATTTTGTGGAGAAGCAGTTTTGTCCTGGGATCTTGTCATCCCAGTCTTGCTTGATTGTCATAAGGTTCCTGAGCCCATTCTCTTCTCTGTTTGCTCTGCAGAAGCTCTCCCATAGGTGTAGTGTGTTGGGGTACTTACACAGCAGGAGGTTTAGAATCAGCTATGGGC